TACAAAAAAATAAAGAAGAGAGAGAGAGAGAGAGAGAGAGAGAGAGAGAGGCGGGGGGAAAGGGGGAAAGGGGAAAGAGAGGAAGAGAGAAAGAAGAGAAAAGAAAGGAAGGATGAACAGAAGAAGGAAAGGACAGAAAAAAGAGAGAAGAAGAAAAGAGAAGAAAGAGAGAAAAGAAAGGAAGAAAGAAAGAAAAGAAAAAGAAAGAAAGAAAGAAAGATAAGAGAAAAGAAAGAGAAAGAAAGAAAAAAGAAAGAAAGAAAGAAAGAAAGAAAGAAAGAAAGAAAGAAAGAAGAAAAGAAAAAAGAGGAAAGAAGAAAGAAGAGAAGAAAGAAAAGGGCTCTGGGCAGCAGCCTTGGCTGGGGACCTCCACCTCAACTGACATACAAGCACATTTGTAGCGAGTTAGAAAACAGAATTTTGAGTCAGAAGAGGAATTTTTTTGTGTCCGACTAATAATAGAGTTCTCTGTTGTCATCATGCAACTTACACACTAGGCACTTTCAGGACCCTGACAGTTCTGTTTCCTTTCCAACCTCCCAGCTGCAACTACCAATGCTTACTACTGAGTTTGGTGGCTTTGTGTGTGAAGGGTGTGTTATTTGCAATTATTTTCTGCTGCTAATAAGTTTAATTTGTTCTCTAGGCAATGACTCTTCTGAATTTCACCTGAATGTGGAAAAATTCCCTAGTCTCTACATGGGATTTACCAGGCTCCACCAACAATTACCCAGTATGCTGTGGGACACAAGGTCTGTTTTCCCACACTTGTACTCTTGGAAAAATTGCGGAAGTAATATTTGAATGCATTCTTTTTGTAAAAGCTTAGTGCCTGGCTGTTTCTTCATTGTTTCCATGCTGAATAACTGTCCAGAAGAGAAGACAAGAAGAGTTTGCTAGGCCATGTCTCCCAGTGCCTGCTGTGTCTTCAGCCAGTGCCAGTGACAGGGTGAGATGGGCTGAACTGTTGGCGGGGAGCAGTGATGGTTTCTGCGGGAGGATTCAGGGCATCTGGGAGTTGAATGTGAGAATGATGGAAGGTGAGAGTGGAGGGGATGCAATAGAATCCCACACAGAAAAGGAGAAGAGATCCCTGTGGACTGAAAAAGAATGACTTTGGCCCTTTATTAGGGCAGGGTGCACCCTCAACCCAAAGTCAGAGGTTCTCTGTCACACTGATTAACAGTGATGAAGGGTGTCAGGAGACCACTGCATGGAAAAGCTGATATTCTAATACATGGTAGGACTGGACTGCTATAGAAATATGCAATTTAATTGTTGAGCTGAGTAGTTTCTTCCTCCTACTCTCCCACCACTTTCCTTTTCAGCTGACTACGACTTATTTATACTTCTGGAGTCGGATTAAGTATCAGTTCCTCAGAGGGGCCTTCCCTGACAACTCTATGCAATCATGTTCTCTTGCCTTTCTATCTTGCAGAACTCTGTTTTTCCTGTTTCTCACAGGTAACACACATGCACACACACGCACACACACACACACATATTACATAGAGAGACATATGTGTGTGTGTGTATGTGTGTATTTCATAGTGTTAAAAATGGTTTTGTTTCATAACTGGAAAACACTATGAAATCAGAGATTATAACATTTGTCACTGTTTCAGTGTACTGGTATAGAATCAATTCAAAGTGCTACCTTAGCAAAGATGATGAGTTGAAAATGATGATGATGAAGTTTTAACATGCTCATGTATCTGCTCCTTCAAGCAATTGAAGCATACATATATTAGCATGTGTAATATATAGTTGCAATTATTTGCCTACTTATCTGCCTGTCCTACCGCATAGTGATCTTTTCAAGTGCAATTCTCTGTGACTTATATACAGTAGTGCAGCACATAACAACATTTAGGTCAATAATAGACTGCGTATATGACAGTGGTCCCTTAAGATTATAATGAAGCTGATAAATTCCTGTTGCCTAGTGATGTGATTCCTACTGCCTCACAGTTGTAAAGTCATAGGAAACAGTGTATTACTGACATGTTTGTGGGATGCTGGTGTAAACAAACCCACTGCACTGCCAGTCCTATAAAGTATATAGCACATACAATTATGTATAGTACACAATACTTGATCAGAATAACAAACAACTATGTTACTAGTTTATGTATTTACTAACTATACCTTTTATTATTATTTTAGAGTATACTCCTTCTACTAGTTATAGAAAAAACATTAACTGTGAAACAGTCTCAGACAGATCCTTCAGGAAGTATGAGTTGTTATCTTCTGTCTGTTATCATAGGAGATGGCAGCTCCATGCGTATTATTGCCCATGAAGAACTTCTAGTGGGACAAAACAGGGAGTTGGAAGATAGTGATACTGATGATCCTGACTCCATGTAGGCCTAGGCTGATATGAGTTTTTGTATCTTAATTTTAACAGAAAAGTGTGAAAAATAAAAAATACAAAGGAAAACAAAAAACAATTAGCCAGGCTCTATGGCTCACAGGTGTAATCCCAGCCTGAGAGGCCGGGGCAGGGGGATCACTTGAGACTAGGAGTTCAAAAGCAGCCTGGGAACCAAATGAGTCCCCTTCTCAATAACAGTTTTCAAAAATTAGCTGGGCATGACGGTGCACATCTGTAGTGAAGATCAAGGAAGATCACTTGAGCCCAAGAGTTTGAGGCTGTAGTGAGCTGTGATCATGTCACTGCACTACAGTGTAGGTGACAGAGAAAGACCTCATCTCTAAAATAAATGAATAAATAAATAAATAGAAAACAAGCTTATAGAATGACGATATAAAGAAAAAACATTTTTGTACAGTTGTACAATGAGTTTAAAGTGTTATTACAAAAGTCAAAACGTTTAAAAATTAAAAAGTTTAAAAATAAAAAATTACAGTAATCTAAGGTTAATTTGTTGAAGAAAAAATATTTTTATAAATTTAGTGTAGCCTAAGTGTACAGTGTTTACAAAGCCTAAAGAAGTGTACAGTCATGTCCCAGGCCCTCACGTTCACTCACCACTCACATTCCGTCTCATCCGGAGAAACTTGCAGTCCTACAAACTCCATTTGTGGTAACTGCTCTATACAGGCGTACGATTTTACTCTTTTATACTATATTTTTACTATATCTTTCTACATTTACATATGTTTAGTTACACAAATACTTACCATTGTGTTACAACTTCCTATGGTATTCACCACAGTAAAATGCTGTGCAGTTTTCTAGCCTAAGAGCAATAGGCTATACTATATAGCCTAGGCTTGTAGTAGGCTATACCATTTAGATTTGTGTAAGCACACCCTATGATGTTCACACAATGATAAAATCACCTAATGATGCATTTCTCAGAATGTATCCCAATTGTTGAGCAAAACATGACTGTATTTATGAACATCCCGTATCCAACACAATCACTGTTGCAGAACATTTTGTAATTCATACATGTTTATTAACCTGAGACTTGAAGCCCCTTCTGAGTTAGCAGCAGAGAGAATGAAGGGGAGGGATGATTTTGCATATGGATGGGCAACACGCTAGGTTTGTACAATCGTACACCCAGATTTTAATGTTTGCAGTGTAAAGGAATCCAGGTGGCACTGAGTGGCAACTAAATTACTCTTTCCCTGCATGTAAACAGAATAACTCAATACATGCACACAAAAACAGAAGACATCTGCATCTCAGGAGGTATAAACATGGTGTCAACACTGTGCCATGTCTCAGGAGCTGGTCTTGTCAAGTTTCAGTGGGAAACCACCAGACATAATGAGTGAGATGCCTGATATCCTATAATTATTATAGTATATACAATATGCTATTTATGTATCAAGTTGTATTATGTATGTGAATAATACTACGTTATATGTAATGTAATCTCTTCATTAGAGAAAGAAGAGTTGAGGAAAGCACTGTGGTGTGGCAGTTAAGAACACAATTTGAAATTACCACTCTGTTACCTACTTAGTTAGCTAAAAGTGGGCAAGTATTTTAAACTCTATAAACTTGATTTTTCTCTTCTGTAATGAGGGGGAGGATAGTAATAATCATAAGAAATAATTACTAACATTTATATATGGCTTATTTGTGACATACATTATTTTAAATGCCTTAAATTTATTAACTCTTTTAATCCTTCCATAAACTCTATGAGGGAGGCAATATTATTATCCCCATTTTTCCAGAGGACGTGCTTTTAGCCAGATTATATCTATCTTTTAAAAAATTGTTTAGTTCATGCATGCAAAACACTTAGTATTCCTGGCATATTAAAATGATTAATAAATTGGAACTATTATCATACTACATTGAGAATGATACAGATCATCAATTTAGTAGCTTTTGTTGGTCATACTGTGAAATACCAAGTATACAAAAAAGGAAAATTAAAGTTTTTTTCCCCAACAATCCTGTTAAAATTAATAATATATGACACCAAATCAATAGCAAATTTTTATTTCATGTGAATATTTTTGTAAGAATAGTGTGGGTATAAATTTTAGGGTTTAAAAATGAATGAAAGTTCTGTTGATTAAAAAAGTAGAATTTAGAATTAGGAGTCTAGCAAGACTGAAGTCCTATATTGTACTTATTTATAAGGCTTATTCTAATGCTAGAATTGTAACTATATGGATATGTTAATTCATTTTCATCATCTATTTTTGTTCTACTAGTGGCAAATATATTCACTTTAACCACAGATTATAAGACTCATATTCACCAATTTATTATTTTAGGGTTTGATGGCTAAAATAAACATCAGAATAAACTTTCAGGGAGTATTTTAAATACGACATCCTAGGACTAAGACACTGAGAGACTATATTAAATTCCTAAATATATTAACAAAAATGTATTGAGCAAATATTCTCTGCTGGGCTCCATGTGATTCCTATTATCATTGCCCATTATGAAATCCAATAATCCCCATGAGTATGTCTAATAACCATAAAGTAGAGCAGAAAAAACCAACCAAGCTGTGTTTGAATAGAAATTTTTAAAGAAAAAAATGCAAAGCACAGTCCAATGTTTAGCCAATAATTAGAGAGTTGAAACCAGGCTTATTTATTTTCATCTTCCTTCTGCCATCTTTTAACCAACCTTCTCAGAATAAAATGTGATTTTTAAGACAGAATGAAACATATATCCAAATTTTAATACAGTAAGAATAGGTATCCCGAATAAATGAGAACTCTAGAAAATCAAGGCTTCAAAATTCTACCCTTCCTGGGAGTTAAAGAAGTTTGGTAGAAACGGAACAAATTAATCAGCGGATTCATCACCTGCCAATTTTTTCTGTACAATTTTCTTAATTCTGGGAGCATCTGGGTCCAGGCAGATTTTCCTCCCATCTTTCAATGTGGCTCTGCAAGAGAGAACAGGGTTATCTGTTGGTGTCCTGGCCTGAATATCAGAACTAATCCATGAGACTGGAGGAAACAAGTGCATATGCGGATGGAGGTAAAGGGTTTCCCTGATAAAGCAATAGCACAGAAACAGCAACTTACATCACTTCGACTTGGTTGCAATGGATTCCTTTCCCGATCACTTCCAAACTTTGGATGTTTTTGGGATGAATTCCAGAGGTTGTCTTCATACACAAGCAGCGCAGTTCAGCGTACGGCTCACTGTCTAGACTTTCCTCTAGGGTAGAAAATGTTACCTATTGGTGGCCATGAATATTTTCCTCAGGTCCCTTATTTGCAGATTGAGGGTAATTGTGCCTCTCTCATGAAGCTATTGTGAATATAATCTGTAAAGCTTAAGTAAAGTGCCCAGCAGAATGCCCAGCACACAAGAAGTGAGAAGTGACCCCCCACCCCCGTGTGCCTCCTCCAATTGGAGTTGTTGATTTAATGGCACTCTCCAGCCCCAGAGGCACCAAGCTAGTCTTTCCCCCAGACACAGGTGTAGCAGAAACAGCAACAGGTGCAGGGAAGCAGGGCCTCTACCTTTGCTTTTCGCCAAGTTTCTCTTAGTTTGTCCTTTGGTGGAGGAAGCCAGAGCAGTCAGCAGCAGTGACAGAAGCAGCAGCACCTGCAGGGCATGAAGTGGTCTGGCACTGTTACAGGAAGGCGTGGTATCAAGTCTGAGGCTCATGGTGGAGAAGGCTGAGCGAGAGTTGTTTCCAGAGCCAGAAGACCGCTGAGTGAGGGTGAGTTACTGCCCACAAGTCTGTAGATAAGTGGCTTCCCATGCCCTGAAGATGTCATTTATATGCTCTCTCTCAAAGCCAGTAAGAAGGAAGAGGTAGGGAAGGAGGAAGTGGGGGTATGTGTTGATACACACATAAGCATTTGAAGCTGTGCCCAACCCAGAGAAAGACCAGAGAGGTCAAAATTGTTACTAGGTCTCATATTATGCATCCCTTCACATTCCTACTGTCCCTTTCTCAATACCTATCTGTCTTACACATGTGTAAGAACTCCGTTCAAGAAGGTAAGAACTAGACTGAAATACTACATGCGTTTTCTTTGTGTGATTTATAACAATACACCCTGCCATTTCTATAATGCAGTTTTTAGGCTTAATAAAAACTTTAGGAGCACCTGGAGGCACAAACATGTGGCCCTTGAAAGAGAAAGTTATCTTTCCTTGTTAGTGCCAAAGAAGGCAAATGTTCTTTTCATAGTTGTTGATAAATGGGACTGGTTTTGAGCATGTGAATAAAATAAGAGCTAATTACCATCAAAGTTTGTCTTTGGATTTTAGGTTATTGGATTCTTTCTGCCTTCAATCTATATTATATTTTATAATTTTATCTAGAAATTACAAATGAAACTCATCCTCCTTTGTATTACAAAATAAGCTACTTGTTTCTACCACCTAAGAATACCTAAAAAGCAGGACCCAGCATATTTATTTTTCTTTTATTTATAACAGAAAAATTACATAATTTATTGCAAAAGATTCATACACTGCAGATATATTTGAAATAAAACACAAATTTATCTTCATCATTTCTCCACATTCCTACTCTTCAGTGGTAAATATTGGTAACGATTTTGCATTAGTTTTCAATTCTATCTGCATTTATATGCACACATGTAAATGTATACAGTGAGACATGTTTAAGACATAGAGATACACATATACGTAGAAGTATTGTATATGAATGACTATACAGGTGACTTTTATCCTTCAAAAAATATGTGTTCAGTATCTTTTCATGCCATCTTAATGTAGTTTTTCTGCATCCTTCTTAATGACCACATGACGTCCTATGGTAAGAAGAATAGTTACTCAACCTTGTCTTGTTGGTGCCCTTCAGGGTGTTTCCAGTTATGCCCTATTAGAAATAGTGCAAGAAATGCCTTACCAAGCAAAATATTTGTTCGTGAATTCTCAGACCCAAATTAAATGTTTTGATCTGAAATGCTTTAACCCTACAAAGATAGAGAGGTGGACCTACACATTACGTGTTGGCTTTATGTTATTTTCTGGTTCTCTGTCCCATCTGTAACACTTGCTTCCTCAACCGAACCATACAATTTTGTAGGGAGTGGCATGTCCTGTGTTTCTTTGAATGTCTCATGTCTCCTATAACATGTAGGATACTTCAATACAAAGTAGGTCTTAAATAATTAATAAATCAAGGAATTTGTATCACATGAAAGTTTGCCTATCCTTTCTAATCACCTACAATTCCAAGCCAAATTCGACAGGACCCAAAGCAACTATACTATTTAAATTGATTTGGAAGCTTGTCAATAAAGAAGAGGCAGATACAAGTGGCCCTGGCAACAAGTTTTCTCCCTTTTACAACTATGTGTAAGTCTCACAGAATATTATTTAAATTTTCCATATTCTTTTTTTACTTTTCATATCTTTAAATTTTAGAAGAAATACTTAAAATACTAAATGTTCAAAATTATTCTCTATCAAAAGGATGAACATAGCAATTTTTTTAAATCGTGTTTTTGTTTTCAAGCCAATTTTCCCTATTGTTTAATAGTTATCTACTATGTCTACTCAAGTTCTCAGGTCCTGTTTTTAAATGTGATATAACCTACAGACCACATTTGGCAGTTTACTTTAGAAGTAAGCAGACTTCCAAATTAACTAGCCTTGGATATGTTTCGTGACTTGATGGTGACATTCTACCTCTGAGTAAAGTATTTTATTATGAGTTCCTCAGGTGGTTGATGTAGTAATTAATGTAGAACCTACTGACACTAAATAGGGCAATGATTTATTTCTAAGTTTAGCTGAAACAAAAAGTTTGATTGTTTTGCATGTAGACGTTTAGCCTGTATGCTGTAATCTGTAAGTAATGATTTTAACTTCAGTATAGTACCCTCCCATGAAAAAGAAGACAACTCTCGTATAGTTTTTTCTGCCTTATTTTAAGCTTTTCTATTATATAAAGCCCTTGTAACTTGTGAAAGACTCTAGAACACCCCCAACTTTGTGGTTGTGTCTTCCCAGGTCTATCTTCCCATTTGGCTTTCAATAAACATGTATAAAATTATTCTGCCTCACTAACCTTAGTTTCAGTTGATGAATGTATGTCTTATTTTTCTCCACCCCATTTATTTTTTTCTTATAAATTAGAGTTCAGCAGTATAACATATTTAATTGAAATGATTTTTCTCCCTGTCTCAACACAGAAATTTCTGGTCTTAAGCAAGCTTAAAGGAAGGGTGTAAGCTGAGAGTTCGGGGTCTTCTGAGAGTTGAGATGTGGAGTCAATGGCAGAGATAAGTTCAACAGGATACAAAATGAGGAGAGCAGACTTCTATTTTCTCCTATGGGGTAACTTTATAGGCTTTTGTCATTATTGAGTTTGAGATATTGTGAATTCTTAAATCATATACATTTTCATTCAAACATAAGACCAAAGTCTTTTCTGGAGCAAAATATAAAGGTTTTTTTTTTAAAAAAAACACTATTCATAGTATATTTCATTTTCTGTTCAACCCCAAAATACATTGCTGAGAACGTTTATTGGCCTCACTGGTCACCTTTTTCTTTCCCTACTTTAACACTATCCAGATTTCTTTCCTTGTTCATTAGTAAGATTTCCTAAAAGTCCCTAATCTTTTTGAGGAAACTGTATGAAAAGTTTTCTAAAGTAATGACGCTTTTGACTGGGTTGATACCGGGAAAAAGGTAGGCTCTTTCCTACCAGGAAACCAACTAGTGGGTTGACATCAGGAAAAAGGTGACTCCAGTATCATGGAGTCATTGCCTTAATCAACAAATGTGGCTTGTTGCAAAAAACGCATCGTCGGCAAAATCCATGAGGCAATAGTGACAGATTTCTTGAGTCATCAAAATTTCATAAGGATGTCAGTCAGCATTTGATACAAAAAATATTTTGCTAGTTTTCATTAATTCAAAAAATATTCGTTAAGCATCGATTGATTGAGCCTGAACTTCATAACAGATTTTACAAAGTTCTCTTTGCGTGACTTGGTCATTTGATTATTTGTTTTTAAAAAATCAGGCCTAAAATATTTGTGTAAAGCAACAGGATATGAAAAATACTCTACTCTTGCTGCTATGATGACAACTGCCACTGTTAACTGCTGTTACTGTCGTTTGCATCATTCCCTTCCATTTCCACGCTGAGAAACACAGTACAGATGATGATAAACTGAGTGTACAAAACTGGTTAAAATATGTTTTTTAATAACTTATTCAGTTAAAATCATACAGTCATACAAAATTATTGTTTAAATAAATGCTAGAATTAGAAAAGAGTTATTTTGTTCCTTGTTTTTAAGATAACTTGACAGCCATTTTATTAATCTTACATTGTCATTGTGGGTTTGTGTATGTGTGTGTTGGGAGTGCTAAGTTATTTTAGCTCTTTTTTCTTTAAGTCATCTTATAAATAGCAGAGTCATGAAGGAAGCAAGCAAATTATCTAAGACTCAAAGCACATTCTATGTTAGCTATTTTAAAAGAAAATATCTAGAGACATTGGAGGACCACTATCTATAAAATTAAGACATATATTACTTCTTCTCTGCCTCATACAGAACGTTTTTAACACGCATTTCCCAAATCCTTCTTTCAGGTATGAAGGAAGTAGACTACCAGCTACAAATTAATCGTAAAAGCAATTGGTACTGAAAATGCTAAGGATAGTACAATTTTGAGTCTGTTTGTTAAAGTATCTTAATCAATAAATTTAAAAGACTATCCATCAAAAGTTTTTCTGTAAGTGCTGAAACCAAATGTGCTTACCGTATAACTGTGAGTTGACAAGAATTGTTCAGATGTTAATTGAGGTTTTACTGTATACTGCTCAGAGGTGAAGCAAGGGGTGAAAATGGGAGGAAAGTGGGGAGGGTGAAGGAGTCGAGGGGAAGGTATCTTTCTAGGTGCCATTATATGCAATACTTCCAAGCTTTGCAGGACTCAGAATTTGTGTTTTAAATTACATTGATTAATAACATTTGTTCAATCTCAAATGTATGCAGGTTACCTAGTTTCCTTACATACTGATTCATTAAGGAAATTCCAACATAATGTTCTAGAGCCTGCAAACACATTAAATTGTTAACAAATACCATTAATTCTCTTTTGTTGTGTAATAAGCCGCCCTCATAGTTAGTGGCTTAAAATATTAATTTATTGTTTCTGATAATTCTGTATGTTAGCGTGAGGTTCTTCTGCTAAGCTCACTTAAGTGAGTGCAGTCAGGAGCAGCTGAAGTGGCTGAAAATAAAAAGTGGGACAATAGGGTGACAATAGTCAATGATGACTTAACTGTGCATTTTAAAATAACTCATAAAGAATGTAATTGGATTGTTCGTAACCCAAAGGATAAATGCTTGATGGAATGGATACCGAATTCTCAATGTGCTTATTTCACATTGCCTGCCTGTATCAAAACGTCTCATGTACCCCATAAATATAAACAGCTACTATGAACTCACAACATTTTTTTAAGAAATAAGAAAAATAATAAAATAATTTAAAACAAAATTTTAATGGCTTGATTCACATGAGAGGTAGTTGGTGTTGGCTGCTGGCTGCGATTCCTACTGGGGCACCTGGGTTCTTCTGCTACTCTTTTAAATATAATTATTTAACTTCTCACTAATAAGCAGAAATGAGGAATGGCGGGAGAGAAGGAGAACAGGCGAGGGGAGGGGAGGGAAGAGAAGAAGAAGGAAAAGCAGAGAAGGAAGAAAATAGAAAGGAAAATAGCAGGCAAGTCATAGGCCCTTCCAACACCCTCC